TAATACAAAAAATTATTTAAAAAACAACAACTAAAAGGCCGCTATTGTCGAAAACAGCAGTGCCTATAGCTTGGTACAATATTTTGTTATTGTATCTTTTAAATAAATAAATATTCAAACACATTTAGCTTATTTTTTTTAAATAATACTATAATAATAATAATAATAATTAAAAAAAACAAATTTAATATCACATATTTATTGAGAGGTATGTTTAGGTCACATGGAGTAACCCTAAAAAAATATTCCTAAATAATTCATATTTATGATTAATAAATACATTAAAAAAAATGTTTGACAACTTTTTTTGATGATGATTATAATAGTAATAATTAATAATTCACATGCACAGATGGATGACACGGAACTCCAGACTTCTGCAGCGTTGCACTATCAGGGTCCTTGTGTCGGCAGTGTCCCGTTGGGTGGGCCGATGGCTGGCTCAGTCTAATTGTCGGCTATTGAATTACCTGTGAATGTGAGAATCAGAGGAGGCGTGTCAGGGGGTCGCTCCAGTCCCGCTGCTAAGGGCGAGAACGGACAAGATCTCATCCGCGGGCAAGAGACGGCAAACGAATTGCTTTTGAAACGAGCGTGTTAAATGCATTATGTTTTGGGTGATTTTCTGATGTTCGTTACTGACTGAAAGTGCAAAGCAAATGATGTCCGTATGTGTTTTCTGAACGTAGCCTATATATTAGAAGGTTAATTGCAGTAGACTATAACACGATAAACATCTTAAACTAGCATTTTGCTAGTGCTTTTACAATTATATAGAAATTCTATGTTTATAAGTATATATTTCTGCATGCAGCTTTTGTGTCATTGATTGAAATAGCATATGCACTTTCTTGATGTCAATTTCAATGTTTTTGATGTAAATAAAAAAAGTTGTGCATCAACTCTTCATGGCCTATTTTTGGTAAAAGTAGAATGCCATAATTTAACATATGCAGCAGTAGGCTACCCTATATTTAATTTAATTACTGAACATATTCTCATCGTCTGATTCATTATTAGTAGAATCTGATGATCAGCCTACAGCTCACCAAGATATTTGTATATAAATACCTATCATGCATGTAGCCTTTTTTCTTCAATGTCAACTCAGACTTTATTTTCAATATATTACTCTGACTTATTGATTTATTTTGAAATATCATGAGTCATATAAGGCTTCTCGGCCGAACATATGGTGGAGGTCTGCGTTAGGAGACAGTGTAAATAATCTCTCAGGGGCTGCTGGCTCGTGGAGATCAACGCGGTGGATTCGAGCGGTCAGTGACGGAACAAGAGCGCCTCCAAGTGGATAGCGATGATATTACAAGAAAACCAGCAAAGTTGAAGAGGACGATCAACGATATGGGGCTTGGAAAAGCAAGATCAAGTTCCTCCGTTTGTATTCAAATAATAGAAACAAGAAATTGGCTATAAATTATATGATCTACAGATTGCTATAGTTTAACTGAAGTAGTGTTTTTAAAATTATTATTCTGGCTTTGAGTTGCAGCAGTAGATGGAATCAAATCAAAGTGTATTTATCAATGATAGCTCTAATTATACATCATTTTTATACGGTAGGCTATTATTTAAGTATTTCACTAGAAGATAAGCCTTAGTCAGGTTAGACGCAATAGTGAATTTAACGAGGGACGTTACAATGTAACGCACTGGACAAAGGTACGAAATCACCTACTCACAACTTGCAACTTTCAAACTTTTATCTACTTTGTTTCAGCTGAGCAATCGTGTTTATCGACAGTATCCATTGAACAAAGGCTAACGCTATCCCTCACAGCCTCGTTTTCATTCCTGTCAGAAATTAGCTGTAAGTGATGTAAGCTGAGTAAAAAATGTAAATCATAAAATGTAGGCTATAAAAAGGTTATCAAATCAAATTTAAAGTTACGAGAAAGGTAAAAGTTTAGGATTAACCACTGATCTACAGGACTAAAAGTTTAGGACTACCCACCACTGATACATATATATATATTTTTATTATATTATACTCATTTTAATTAGTTTTATATTAGGCTAGATTGATTAAATGAGGTTTAAAAGTCCCGCAGTGAAAGCCGAAGCGCTACAGGAACAGCAGAACGTCATCCACACTCCGGAGCAGAAGGTGGCGGTAATGCACCAATACGCTGGATGCCAACCGCCGTAAAAATATAAGAAGAAGAACAGCAGAACGTCATGACGCACGACGTCACGCCCGGGTCATGTGACCGGTATTGCGAGGAAGCGGAGTCCATCAGAAAAATCCTCCCGAGATGAATCGAGCAATTATTAACACGGTGTTTGCGCTTTTAGGCCTTTTATCAGGTAAATTGACGTTATACTTTATCATTTAGATGTACGTGGTTTTATTTTGCCAGGTCGGTGTGTTTTTAGCGATTGTTTCATGAAATAATGGCGACTGCAGTGAGATGCCTTAATCCGCAGTCATGTAAATCGATCCAATATCTCTCGTTTATACAATTAAATTAGTTTAGTCCAAATAATTTATGTGCATTTGCTACGATATTGTGTTTATGCTGCTTTATGCTGTTAGATAAAATGGTTTTGCTGCTAAATGTTGATAATGAATGAGGAAGCCCTAGCAGGTCATGTGACAGTCATGGTTTATTTAACAAATCCTGCATTGTTGATCAATATTATAGTTATGATAGGATTATTGTGGTTTTTAAACTGATCATTGTGTTAGGAAAGGAGTTTTCAATCATTTAGATGTATGATTATTAAATATGATTATTCTCGTGCAACCTGAAATGTGAAAGGCAGTTATATATTATGTAGAACTACCCAAATTATACTGTGGAAAAATGTATATTATAATTGTGTGTGTGATTTTATTTGGGGGGAAAAAAACATTTTCTTTTTGTCACGTTACATTATTTTTCTTCTTTTCTGCTCACTATAGGACAGGGCTGTCCAAACTCAGTCCTGGAGGGCCGGTGTCCTGCAGAGTTTAGCTCCAACTTGCCTCAACACACCTGCCTGGAAGTTTCTATGCCTAGTAAGAGCTTGATTCGCTGGTTCAGGTGTTTAATTAGGGTTGGAGCTAAACTCTGCAGGACACCGGCCCTCCAGGACTGAGTTTGGACAGCCCTGCTATAGGACATACTGATGTATTTATTTATATATTTGTATCAGTATATTTATTTCTTTTAAGTATTTTTAAAATTTATTGTAGTCTAATTTTTATTTGGTTAGTTGGTTAAATCATATTTTTATTGTTTATGCATTTTTAAATGTTTTGCATGTTTTTTTCTGTAAACTTTTCCACACAACTCAACATATCTGAATGTCATTGCATTAGACTTCAAAATGTCGAAACAAGTGTGATTTATTGTAAAGAAAGTTTGTGAGAATATATCAGCATTGTTCCCTGTTTTATTTTTCATCAGGGGTTTTGGGTGACAGTTTGACTGTTTTGCGCAGCCCGCAGTACGTCACCTTCCGGGATGGACAGTGGCCCATATCGGGAGAAAAGATCCCTGATCTAGTCGCCCTGACCATGGGCTTCTCCATCCATGAGGTATAACATCTATTTAATCCTGTAATGGCACATGTGATGTCTTCATGTAAACTCCATAGTAAGCTTGTGGTTTTTGTTTGTAGGATCTTGATTGGCCAGGTCTGGCTGCCGGTTGGCTGTTCCAACGCCCGCGTGCAAACGCTCTGATCGTCGTGCGTGGCTTGGACAGCCTCGACTTTCCGAAAAACATTTCCTGTTACCCTCTTGAAAACGTGAGTAATGCATTCTTACGCACATAAGTTATTTTAGGTTTCGTGGTGCATGAATGCAAAAGCAGGGTTTTGTCTCGCACTCTTTCTTGCTTTTATGTCTTTGATTCAACGTGTAGGTTGTCAGTTTGACCTTTAAATGAATGAGTGAAGTAACTCGCCTTAGACCCTGAAAACAGAAAAAACTGTGCAATAGCTAATTTTTAAGTTCCAGAAAATGAGGATGTTTTAGGATTGAGTAACCATGGAGTTTCCCTGCTAGACTTCCCTTATTTTGTATCATGAGACTGACGGCACTTGTTTGTCTATCTGTCTATCTGTCTGTCTGGTTTCAGCCGGTTCCGTTCACCCTGGACAGTGTGGCAAACACGGTGCACACTCTGTTTGCTGACAGCACCCCTGTGGTCTTGCAGCTCGCCCCAAGTGAGGAGGTGCGACCTCAGCGAATTTCTTGACTCAAACACTAACCACATACAAGTGATGCCTGCAAACACACAAAGTGCTCTGCAGATAAAGATGTACACAAGAAACGCTTAAAATCTGATGCAATAAAATGCAAAGTTATCTTGAGATCTTCTGTTCTAAGGAAAAATTAGAATTTTTTTTATCAAATGTTAAATTAAAGGCTTGTAGTTATTATATATATATATATATATATATATATATATATATATTAATATTTTTTGTAGTATTGTAAGAAACTGATTTGCCTTATGTCTTAACTATTATTCTTTTATCTTTTTATTTGTTTTATGCCTCTTTTTAATCTTTCTTATGTGCTGATATGGCATGAAGTTAATAAAAAATACTTAAAAAATATTAAATAATAATTAAATTATATGTTGTTGGTAGTTAGTAAATAAAAATGTTTTGAACCTCGAGCATTCATTTAAGAAATTTCTTGATTGTGCATTTCAGAGGCTGTATATGATGGGAATGGCCAACACAGTGTTTGAGGACCTGCCCGTGACCCTGCAACAGATCCGTGGACGTCTGTCCCAGGACGGATCCGTCCTCACATCCCTTCCTCTCGTCTCTCTCAGTCGTAATAACGAGGTGAAGACATGGTCACGTAACACTTGTGGTCATAATAGCCAATAACACAGATTAGTGGTTTAGTGAACCACAAAACTGAGGTCAACTTTGGCCATAAATGTCAAATAAGTAATAAAAATATCTGTTATTTATGTGTTAGTGTACACAGTATTAACACTCTTTATACAGACATGGACTGTAACAGTTTCTGAAGCAGTTTTTCGGTCATGGTAGGAAGTGGCATCTACCTTATTGAAATAATCGACATGTGAAAGTAGTTGTTACAGATAGAAACCATCGTACATTAGATGCATGTTGGTTTTTGTTTCCCATCCTAAACTAGACGCTGGTCTAAATATACTGGTTTTAATGTGTTTATGTGGTGTTCTGTGTGTTGCAGGCTGATCTTCTGTTCCTCTCTGAGGTTCAGGTGTTGTACGACATCTCTGCTCTGGTGAGTTTCTCTGTCTGCTCTGAGCCGATACACTTTATGACAGTTTGTTCCATATAAATCAGCCGTGCGAGATTTTATATGGTCATTTTTGTTTTTTAGTATCAAATCCTTTTTATTGTTATTTTTTATCTAGCCTTAATGTTTGCATCTGCTTGTTTGGCTCATGCAGTTCATAAATATCTAAAATATATTAATAAATGTATAAAATTAGTTTTTTATTCTTAATTTTCTTTTGATGTTGGTCAAAAAAAACTAAATCAAATGTCTGTAATCAGATTAAATTACTGTGGCAAATTTGTGTAATATTAAAGTATTTTGTGTTGTTTGCTACAGTTGCAGAAACACAAGCATCTGGCTAAAGACCCGGCTCCTGACCTGTACTCTCTAGAGCTCGCGGGGTTGGAGGAGATCGTCCGCCGCTACGGCACAGACTCCCCTCAGTTCACCGACGCTACCAGAATCCTGACGTCTGCTCTGCAGAAGGTAACGAGCCTGTGTCTGTGCTGTAGATAGTGTTCATTTTATCAGCTATTTTTTATTTAGTCTTAGTCCTGTGTCAAATGTAACTTTTAGTTTTTATCATATTTAGTCAACTTGTCCTGTTTTAGTTTTAATTAAGTTTTAGTTGACTAAATGTCTGAGAATTTTTGTCTAGTTTAAGTCAGTGGAAACTTACACATTTTTGTCATTTTTCCTCTTACTGTATAATGGTTAAAATGATGAAGAGAATTCTTTTTATTTTGCTCAATTTTAATTGTAATGATTGTTGTCATTTGGGAAATTTATTTTTACATTTTATCGGAAGTTGCTCTTTCACCAATAAGCACAAATCAATAGAATATCGACTCGTATGCATGGTATATTTTATCTCATCTAACGTTAGTGTACAGATTTTTAACAGGATATCATATTTGAGGTCTTGATATCTGGCAACCGCAATCATGCACGCTTGCATAATAGAGTCTTGTCTCCACTTTTTTCAACAAAAATAAAGTTTTTGTTCTTTTCAACTACATTTTAGTCTCGTCTTTTTTCATCAACGATATTGCATGTTCATTTAATCTCAGTTATCAATTAATGACCTTATTATTGTTACGTCATCATCTCGTTTTCATCAGGGGAAAAAACCGTGTTGACGAACATTTTTCGTCATAGTTTTCGTTAACGAAATTAACACTAGCTGTAGAGTTATTATAGTTTACTAAACCGTGAAATTTCTGTTACTTTAAATAAAATAAATGTTTATTGAAATAAAATCAAATATACAAAAAAAAACATTTTCTTCATCTAGTTTCTAAGGCAACATTTCTCATTATCACAATAAATATTACAATAATTACAGAATTTATTTCTAAAACTTAATCACAAGCAAATGTTATTTAACATTTTTATATAGATGTCATTTTAAAGTTGCTAAAATGTTCTATTAGAAATAAGTAGATTTTTCTGTGATTATGTGACTTAAATATTTCCAAAATAAAAAGGGAAGAAAAACCTATATTTCAAAAAAAAAAAAAGAAAAGAAAATGAAGCCTTAGGACTTTTAATTTTATTTTTTTTTTGCATTGAGACATTTTTAGCCAAAAAAGAGGTAATATGCTTTGTTGTTTGCTTTATTTTCCTTTAGCGTTTAAGGTGAAATATGACACTTTTACTGGGTGAAATTGTTAAAATACAATGAATAAAAATAAATTAAGCCAAAAACATGACATTTAAGCATTACTATCTCATCATTTAGATATCTTCACATTTATCTCATTTATCCTTGACTAGTCATGAACTTAAAATCATTATTGTTCATTAAATTTCATTATTGATTCATTACAATGTATATTCATTTTCATATACATTTCTCTACTTACTTCCAGCTACAAAATGTCTTTGTTTTTTACACTAATAATACTTAATAATATATAAACCGTACTGCTGTTATTAGTACTTTTATACTAAAATCTGTTTGTATGTGCATGTATGAAGTTCGCAGACGATGTCGCCAATGTCTATGCAAACAACGCGGTTGTAGAAGTCGTGACTGTGAAGACGTTTGAAGCCCCTCTGACCAGGAAGTCACGCTCCATCCTCGAGTCCAAGCAGATCGTAAGTTGATTGCAATAAGCTTTTCTATAAACAAACATTTCTAAAAAGAAAAATTTAATGTTGGGTCAGGTCCACATTTCCAGTGTTATTCTTATTTGTCAGGGTGCGAGAAGAAAGAATCGATTCAAGACCACTTCTGTAAGACGTGTAACGTTATTAGCGTAGCCACTAGTAGTTGGTTAGCAAACTCTATCGTGCTTTTTATTCATTTTTAGAAATGGTAGCGTATAGTTTTAGCGACCCTCACCTTTCCAACCCTTAACCTGTTTTTGTTCCAAAACAAAAAGATGGTTACGGTACATTAGAAACCCCCTTCGCTGACCTACTTTTGAACGCTGACCTACGTACATGTAACACTAGCGTGTGGTTGTTTCAGAGTAACCCAGGCAGCCCTTACAACCTGGCCTACAAGTACGACTATGATTACGCCGTGGTCTTTAACATTGTCCTGTGGCTGATGATCGTGTTAGCTTTATCCGTCATCGTGATCTCGTACAACCTCTGGAACATGGATCCCGGATATGACAGCATCATTTACAGGATGACCAATCAGAAGATCCGAATGGACTGATGTCGTCCTCCGCATCCCATTCCATTTTGTGTTTTGTATTTGAGTGCATTTGAATGTGTTTTATTTTTGATGTGTGCACCACAGAATTGCTTGTATAAATGCTATGACGCAATCAAACACAGATATAAAGATTATTTATTAATGCCTATTGATAAATGGAGAAATAAAATTGCTTGCGACGTTTCTTAATCGTCGTATCTTGTAGATTTGCATAATGTGAATCTACTGAAGAGGAAAATCTGATGTAAAGAATTGAAATCTAACTCTATTTATTGTTTGTTGTTCACTTCATCGTGCTGTTTTCCTTCCTGAATACTGGATATGGTGGAATTGCTCCATTGCCATGTACATTTGTTTAATTGAATAAATGTCGTTTTCATTGAATATAACTATAAAGTAGACTGTTGACTTGTGTACAAGGCCGTAACCATTTCTTGAGCATTGAACATTTTTAATAAGGTATAGAAATAGAACGTTCAAGGAAATGCTAAATCTAATTCTAGTAGGGAAGGAATCATTTTTAACTATTTGCAAATAATATTTTAAAGTATGCACACATTCACTCATTTGTATGCCTAATATGGCGAAAACACAAAATGTTACTTCACTTGTCTGGTCACGCTCAGTTTCAGGAATTACATGAATCACATATATGATGCCAAAACGGCCATATTTGTGGGGAAAAAAAAGGTAAGTAATTTGCATCACAGTATATTACCGCCTACTATGATTTGATTGGTCAAGACTCATATCAGTCATTTTGACGCTGAGACAGCGGTTAGACCGCTGAGGCAGATTAGACTGAAAATGTAACTGTTAAATACTTGTAAAAGTTCTCACAGATACAGATCGGTTATCCTATCAGACTTGTTTCCAAATGTCGTTTTCATTGAATATAACTATAAAGTAGACTGTTTGTTGTGTACAAGGCCATAACCATTTCTTGAGCATTGAACATTTTTAATAAGGTATAGAAATAGAACGTTCAAGGAAATGCTAAATCTAATTCTAGTAGGGAAGGAATCATTTTTAACTATTTGCAAATAATATTTTAAAGTATGCACACATTCACTCATTTGTATGCCTAATATGGCGAAAACACAAAATGTTACTTCACTTGTCTGGTCACGCTCAGTTTCAGGAATTACATGAATCACATATATGATGCCAAAACGGCCATATTTGTGGGGAAAAAAAAGGTAAGTAATTTGCATCACAGTATATTACCGCCTACTATGATTTGATTGGTCAAGACTCATATCAGTCATTTTGACGCTGAGACAGCGGTTAGACCGCTGAGGCAGATTAGACTGAAAATGTAACTGTTAAATACTTGTAAAAGTTCTCACAGATACAGATCGGTTATCCTATCAGACTTGTTTCCCTCAATGTCTGTGGTGGTTACGGCCCTGGTTGTGTATAGATGTACAAAAATGTACAAATGTAAGTGTAACCCAAATAAAAAAACTCCATCCTTCTCTTAAAACCAGTTTTAATGTGTTTGAATACAAGTGCACATTACAACACTTTACTGAGGAAAACCACTTACAGAAAGTTTAAAACACTTCTGATGTTTTTCCTGAAACAACGAGAATTGCATTGCAGCAATCTTGAACCCTTGACCTTTTAACTAGATTTTGATTTAATGTTTGTAGACATTTTGCTGTTGTTCTCGAGTTGTTCGTTTAGAAACAGGAATTGGCACTTTTACCAATCTGTGCAAATGGGTCTGGCTGCAGCTGGCGCTTGCACTCTCAGACGTGCATTCTCAGACTTGCACTCTCAGGCTTGCACTCTCAGACACTTTGTAATCGTTTAATCACCACCACAGCGTCTTGTCTCCATTGACAACACACACGATTTGTGTCGACTGCAAGTGACGTCGCAGGTAGTGGAGAGTGCAAGTGGCGATTGCAAGTGACTTCGTAATTTAGTTTATTTTTTCTTGTCTTCACCACCTGGCTACTGTTGTAAAATGTTGAGAGATTCAAACAAAAAGTAATCAATAAATAGAACAAAATAAAAAATAAAAAAGACTGCAAGTGACATCGCTAGCGGAAGTGCAAGTGTCTGAGAGTGCAAGCGCCAGCTGCAGCCAGACCCTTCTCAATCTGTGCACATGATACAAACGTGGTAACACTAGAGTCACTGTTGTCAGCATCTAGACTTAGCCTGTAGCCTGTATTTCTTGCCATCTTGTACTTCGTTCAACGTTGTATCATGATTAATGTTTCTGCACTTTTATTCAAGAACTTCCACTAGGGAAAAGTGGTTTTCTGACCTAGTATGATGGGTTTTTTTTGGGTACTTGTCAGCTGGTTAGATTTGGGAGACCAGCTAAACAACAGCTTGGCTGGGGTCCAACTAAATCATGTTAAAACAGCATGGTTAACCACATGAACTAAAAGATATTACAATCATTTAGCAACTTTGTTTCTCAAAAACTTCAATAATTTACTTTACAATAAACTAATTATACTTGTTAACATGAGTTAATTCATTACGTATCATTAACAATGAACAACAATGTTTACAGTATTTACTAATTCAGGTTAAATGTTAATTCATAAATATACTGATGCTGTTGATTTTGATTCTTACATTAATTTGATGGTAATTTGAAACGTTAAAAATGTATTTGTATATGTAGAATTAACATTAACCAGGATTAATAAGTATTGTCCATTGTGATTTAATGTTAACACATTGAACCTTATTGTAAACTGTAACCACATCAATCAAGATTGATCTGTTAAAATGTCTAAGGTACTTGGTAGCAACACACAACAAAATTATGTATTTTATAAATAAGTAAATAAAATGGTTTCATTCAAACGGTGATGGAAACACGACCTTTATAAAACATAATCCTACAACAAAAAAAAGGGTAGACTCACAGAAGGTGTCAAACTACCACATTAACAACTTTGTAGACTGCAAGATGTGTTGATCTCTGCTCGTGATGGTCTAGGATGTGGCTTTGGTTTCTGAAGAAGTGCATAAGTGCTGTTTATCTGAATGGAGTTTTCTCCTCTGGAATATGTGGACAGCTCGATTTCAGAATACTACGAGAACATAAAATAACGTGAAATAAGGCACTTTATAAACCTCTTCACCACGCATGTGAACAAGTTTGGTTGGTTTTGTTAAACATTTGTGAATTCGTTGAGCATCCAGTAGTTATTTTAGCTAACTCTGTGTTTCAAGGTTGCTTAAGATGTTTCGCAAAATGTCATGAGTTTTGAACTCTGAAGAATGTACATCATTTCACAACTAATGAGTTTCTAAAGACCTCCAGCTACTTGAGAAACGCTAGGAAGAACTTTAGTTGTTGCCGGGAAATTTGGGAAACATTTTGTACTATGAACTGAAATGGTGATTGAATCATTCAGCAATATAAGTCTTACCTGTGCAGTGTTTAAGTCCTCAAGCGACACTGGTTTGACATTCTGGGGTTGTTGTCGACTTTTTATTGGCTTCTTAAGTTTGAGCATTAACAGACCTGAAGTAACGCATTACATTTTGGTTGTTGTCATCATGAAATTAATATAATACACATACATAATGAAACAATACTTCAGTACATTTCAAAGAAACTCTTCATAAAGGAATACACTAAACTTAATTTCAATGAAACTGAGGAGATTCATTTGAACATTTGATCCTGTTTTTTGTACTTTCAACTTGATTGTATCAGATATCTCACCTATTATTGCAATAATCAGCACAATGTTCAATAGGAAGGATGTAATGGTCAGAATCCTGTGAAAATTGGGTGTTGTTTCACAATGTGTTTGATTATGATTGTTGCATTCTGTTTGATTTTGGTCATGGGCAGATTCTGTTTAAATAGAAGAATTGTAAGTTTTGTGCTTTTAGTGCCAAATATGATTAAAAACCTCTGATAAAGGTAAAAACACATTTATTTCAGTAATGCTGGGTACACATTATACAAGATAATCAGGCTGATTTTGGGCCGATTTCTCCCCTTCCGACAATCCTAGGTAAAGTCCCGATTATCTTGATGGTTCTAAAGATTATTTGATCAGATTTTCCTGTGGTGTGAGGTGTGTTAAGAGTGTCTGAATTTGCTCGGAAGAACGTCGGAGGCGACTTGTTGTTGCAACATGTTGAATATTTACGATCAGAAATCCTGATGTGTGGGGGGAACATCGCGGCACACCACACACTATAGGAGCAAAACGGTTAAATCTAGGATTTTTTGTCCTCATGTTTGTGGTCTCTCACATTTTGAAGATCTTATAAGATTTTAAAAATCTTTTAGTGTGTACCCAGCATAAACGTAGCTATAAACGTAGTATATTATAACACTTGATGTGTTAATCATAAATGTAATTTAGAAATACTTACCAGTAGTGTAAAGTCTGGTGCCATTGCTGAGCTGTAGAGTCGTGCCTGTTTTTGCACAATAATATATTCCTATTTCATTGATAGTTATGTTCCTAATAAATAAACGGCTAAAAGTTTGTAACGAACATTTGTCTTTAAATCTTTTATCATAAAACTGAGGTGTTGTAGATTCTGATGTGAACGTCCGCAGTATCAGCGCTGGAGAATCTGTCAGGTTCTGGAAAACCCAGTAAATATCTTTTACATCAATCAGACAGTCTAAAGACATGTTTTGCCCTAAATTCACCCGTTTAGAATTTAAACACTGTGCAGTTTGACACCACACCAGTAGAACTGTGAAGATAAAACACATATAGTAAAGCACAAAACTCTTGAAATCAATCTCGAAAACTATTCAGTCATGTGAAGAGCACTCTGAAATTACACGGAGTAACTTACAGAAGAGTAAAAGCGGCGTCGTCCTCATTCTGTGGTTGTTTTGCTCATATGCAGTAAGACGGTTAACTTAACTACGAATCTGAGCAGAAGTGCTAACACAGATGTGCAGAAAAAAAATCAAAGGAAACCACCAGACACCCTTGAAAAGAGGAAGTTGAACTTGCACTGACCAGACTGTTTACTGCTATTAAAGCATTTAAGAAGGTCAAAGTGCATGAGATAAAGTGTTTGATTTGGCGAAGTAACTTCAACTGTCAATAGGTTTTACTTTTGATTAATTAAATTGCTATAATATATTTATAATAATATAATATTATTAGCACCTGAACTATAGGTCTAATTGTGAAGCAGATTTTTTGTTTTCCAAGCAAAACTTCAGGCCAAACTTGTAAGCTAATGTGTGTGGGTGTTTTCTGACAGTGCCAGCATGTGGTTTTGCTGACCTAGTTTCACGCTAGCAAGTGTGGATTTCAGACATGTTAAAGGTGCAATAGGTGATTGTCTTGGTTGGTCTCTTTTTAAAGAAGACACTTTGCAGATTATTGTCGAAGTGAAACGTTATCAAATTTATATTATTACAAAAAAGTTATGGAAGTTTAAGTTTATGAAAATATAAAATGTAAAAATTTAAATATTCATATTTTATATTTAAAAATATATATTATGTAGCAGATGTCAAGCAGTACCCTCAGGACAGAAGCACGACCACACATGGATGAGATGAGTGATGGAATTTATTCCCCTTTAAAGAAGAGTAGTATGAGGCAAAATTAGTACAAACACACCGATAGGCCTACTCTCTCACTCCCGTGCTTCCCGTCTGCATTCACAGTGAGACTGAGCGCGAATGCTTAAAGGAGAAGCGATACCTCTTCCTAAGGTGCGCCACTAATTAAGACCCCACCTACAACAATTGGTAGGAACTCCCAACTGGAACCATTGAAACTAAACATGAATCGCAGTTATCAAAAATAAACATTAAATACAAGTTTTGATGAAGTTAACACTTTCAAAAAATATCGTTCAACACAAACAATATAAAATAAAATACTATAAAGTAAATTATATTAAATAAAATATAAAAGTCACAATCAATTGGCTACAATTACAAAGCATGTTTTACTCTAAAACTGCTAGAAAACTGCTTTGTGTTCCAAATTTGAGGTTGATATCTCAAAAAATGAGATTTTGTATGGGCGTAGTACCAAGCGTTTCCGCTAGATGCCGCCATCAAACCCCATTAGTAACCATATAAGGGCGCCTCCATTTCTATATATGGTTTGAGTGATCTGAAACATGTTTTTCCACTTTTCTCAATAATTATGAAGTAGACATCACATTCAGAAGTATTAAGGGCAGTATTTGATTTCAATTCAACGTCTAAAAAACACAAAGACATACGACGAGAACCTTAGACCTATGTTACAGTTCACGCTGCATCAAAAATGGAGAATCTATAGATTTTCCTTTATAGTCAAAACACTTTTAGACCTTTTTTTCCTCCAAAAATAGAATGGATGTTATCTTTTGAACAGTATGGTGACCCATACTTGGAATTAGTGCTCTGCATTTTACCCATCCAAAGTGCACACACACACCGTGAACACACACCCGGAGCAGTGGGCAGCCATTTATGCTGCGGCGCCCGGGGAGCAGTTGGGGGTTCGGTGCCTTGCTCAAGGGCACCTCAGTCGTGGTATTGAAGGTGGGAGAGAGCGCTGTACATTCACTCCCCCCACCTACAATCCCTGCCGGTACGAGACTCTAACCCACAACCTTTGGGTTATGAGTCCGACTCTCTAACCATTAGGCCACGACTTCCCCTAAAAGTAAAACTATAGCAAAAATACAAACGTATTGTCCATTTGTATTGTCATGTATCTTCGCAATGTGACCTGATGGTCGAAACGTTGTAATAAATCATTCTTATGGAGCAGTTATATCAGTGTGCGGACAATACTTTTGTATTTTTGCTATATCTTTTGAACACTTGACATGAAAATGAATGGAGGTTTTTACTGATTTTTCATGATTTCATATGTGCATCACTATTTCAAAAGGTCAGAACTCGCTCTCTGACTCTGATGAGTACTCTTCTTGCAGATTAATAAATTACAGTTGCTCTGTAAAATATTTAATAAATTACCAAATATGAAAACTAGAGTCTTTAGGCTTTCAAATGATATAGTTTGTCAAGATTACTTTAGGTTCAGACTAAGATATTACTGTTTAAAACATGTAACGACAAGTGGGCCCACCGGTGGGCCAGTGACAGTTAACAGGTATGCCATAGTCTTCTTAGCCGCATTGCTATTTCATACGCCTCTGGAACATGGATACAGATAACACTCCAAATAGTAGAGAGAACATCTGGCAATGTTCTCCTAAAGTTATGAACAAACATTCTTTTAGTAACATTAATAGAATGTTCATTCAAAGTTATGGTCTTTAATAACGTTCTAAAAACGTTAGCATAAAAATGCTATTTTTAACGCTAAACATTTTTGTTCTATAACGTTTTAGTTGGAGGTTTGTCTAATGGGTTTTTTTTTTACTACTTGTTTCAGAAAGTTCGGGAACATTCAAAAGGAACATTTCCCAAAATGTTGTCAAAATTAAAAAAATAAAATAATAATCCCTTAACATTTGAATGACCAAGATTTTTTTTGTTTAAACATTGAACATTTTGAACGTCCAGGGAACGTTAAGAAATAACGTTTTCCAATAACGGGAACATTAGCAAAACATTGTTATAACATATTTTTGTCAGCTGGGATGCAACATTTTATAGACACATAATAATAGTTTATACGGGCATTAGCCTACTCAAAAGCCTCAGAACCGAACTTGTGTAATTCAATAAAACTTGGTGTATTACATCTCAAACACATGAGGTAAATTTTTAACACGTTTATTAATTGTAGTCTAATATATTTTATTGACAAATATCCGGATCAGTCTGAGTGATGTGTACTTAAGTTTACTTGTGCTACTTAAATCAGCAGGTAGAGGGCGCTGTCACCATTTAAAGGCAAGTTTTGATGCTAAAACCTACATTCTCTCCGAGATAAAACATTGCTCTGTTTGTATACATGTAAACAAACTTATATAGAAGATATCCGAGTCGAAAAAACATGAAAGTATACTTTTCAGTTAATAAGCAGCCCGCGACTAGAAGAGAACGAGCGCATCATGACTCTGCAGCTGCGTGAGCGACTCTACTGTTAAAAAAATCAATTTTCTGTCTATAATAAAATATTTATTTTTTCTGTGGAATACAAAAACACGTGGTGGGCAGAATGGCAGTCTCATGAATGAATGATGACAGGATAATTTATTTTTGGGTGAACTAATCTTTATTCATTATCTATACTACTACTAATAATAATATTCAGACCACTAAAAACAAGTTATTATACAGAACTTGTATTAACATTTATCAAGGCAAGAACAAAGAGAAGCTATTCTGAAAAGAGCTTGAGAATTTTGCAAACAGCAAAAAGCAAGCCAAAATATTTTATTTTCATTATTTAGCAGAATATATTTCTATTAGACTGTATGATTTACACTTGATTATGTTTGTCTAGGTTTTGTTTTGGGATTTTTGAAATGGAACAAAAGTGAAACTCCACTTCAGAAAACTACAGAAGGGTGGTAGTTGCTAATCTCATATATTTATATATAGGCTCTTTCATCGTATAAGAGATGCTGTAGATTCGGATGTGAAAGCTCGCAGTATCAGAACTGGAGAATCTGTCAGTTTCTGGAAAACCCAATAAATGTCTTTTACATCAATCTGACAGTCTAAAGTCACATTTCCCGCTAAATTCACCTGTTTATCAGTTAAACTCTCTGTAGTTTGACACACCAGCAGCAGACCTGCACAGAAACACACAGAACATTCAAAATAATGTGTTGAATTTTACATTGTAAACAATGTTCTAAAACTATCCAATCAAGACAACATCATTAAAATCATAAAAACTGAGTAACTTAAACTTACCAAAGAGTAAAAGCTGCACCGTCCTCATTCTGTGGTTGTTTAAATGATGTGCATTATAATAATGCAGGCCAATCTGAGCAGAAATGCTTCTGCAGAATAAAAGAGGAAACCAGCAAGAACACTTAGCGAGGAAGTGGAACAGATGTGAAGATTATTAGAGGCCCATGCGCTGATGTTTTCCATAAGGTGTGACTTTGTACACGAACTTGACATATCAACCAGACCAGAGTTGAAGCCAACTAACCCACAGCTGTGAGAAAACAGACTCAGAGCGGACGACTGCAGCAAGACAGTGAAAAACATTGCATTAATACATTAAACAAAGAGAAACCAGAAGACTTACTGAAGTTTAATCAGTCAAATATACATACAGTAGGCCTATTTATTGACATTGGAAAATGTTATCCTTATCTCATGAACTTACAATCTGGATAATAACACCACACACACATTTTAGAGCAAACAAATTAGCATTTATATGTGCTCATTATATATTACAGTGAGCACAATAAATTAAATGGTAACACTTTACAATAAGGTTCCATTAGTTAATGTTAGTTCATGTATTAACAAACAATGAACAATACATTTATTACATTATTTATTCGTCTTTGTTAATGTTAGTTAATGAAAATACAGTCGTTCATTGTTCATGAACATTCAACACGTGCCGGTCATAATACAAACAGAACAAGATCTTGCATGAACTTAAACTTACAGCAGAGTAAAAGCTGCACTGTCCTCATTCTGTGGTTGTTTAACTCAAATGCAATAAGATGGTTAACTTTACTGCGAATCCAAGTGGAAGTGCAGCAGAACTTACGAAGAAAAAAGAAACCACTGTGGTTGAACTTGAAATGGCTGGACAATTTGTGGTCATTAAAGGAATAGTTCACCCCAAAAAGAAAATGTGATGAAAATGAACTCATCCTCAGACCATCCAATATGTAGATGAGTTTGTTTCTTCATCATAACAGATTTGGAGAAATGTATATGAACATTGCATCACTTGCTCATCAATGGATCCTCTGCAGTGAATGGGTGCCGTCAGAATTAAAACAGCTGATAAAAACATCACAATAATCCACAAGTAATCCACACCACTCCAGTCCATCAGTTAATGTCTTCTGAAGCGAAAAGCTGCATGTTTGTAAGAAACAAATCCATCATTAATACGTTTTTAACTTCAAACCATTGCTTCCAGAAAATACGAGTGCTCTGTCCTGTTTTCTCCAGTGAAAACGTCATCTTGTCTGAATCAGGAGAGAAATATGTACAGATCAAGCACCGTTTACAAGTCAAAACAGTTCTAAACAAATATGTCAGTGGATTTTGGTGTGGGATGGAGTTTTTCATTGAAGGAAGTGTTATTTTTATTTGCCAGAAACAACATTTTGAAGTTAAAACACCCTAATGATGGATTTGCTTCTTAAAAACACATCTTTTCACTTCAGAAGATGTTAATCGATGGACTGGAGTGGTGTGGATTACTTGTGGATTTCTGTGGTGTTTTTATCAGCTGTTTGGACTCTCATTCTGACGGCACCCATTCACTGCAGAGGATCCATTGGTGAGCAAGTGATGGAATGCTACATTTCTTCAAATCTGTTCTGATGAAGAAACAAACTCATCTACATCTTGGATGGCCTTAGGGTGAGTTCATTTTCAGCCATTTTTTTATTTTTGGGTGAACTATTAAGATCTATATGAGATAAGATCTCAAATCAGTCAAAAATGTCTTGTTTGTTACATCCAGATGTGACATTCATTGTCACATGATTAATCAAGAGAACCGAATGGACTAATTACTGACACTGCATCCCATTACAATCAGATCTGATTTTAGCAACTCAGAAAGAGACATAAACAAACAATCCAAAACATTACAAAGTTTATTTATTAACGTTATTACCAGTATAAAACTTGATGGACATTTTAATTGCTGACAGATTTTAGTCATGTTTTATTATGAACAGACAAAAGCAAATCATTATTTCTTTACATTATCAAGCAGCACAGAATGTTGATCATTTAAAGCAAACAGAAATAAATCAACACAATTTCTCAGTATAAAGCTGTTTCATATACAGGACCTCTGATATTTGGCAGCACCTCTAGATATTCAGGATCTGTTTTTCCTCTGTTACTCTCACGAAACTTCATAGTAGAAATCTAAACGAATGATAAAAAACCATTTATCAAAACAGCTCTTCATGTTTACACATTCATTTTTTAAAGAACATTTTTTTTTTTTCTGTATTGTTGCTCAGACTTTTGTGAGCTGGAATATAAAACGTTTGTCATAATAACCGATTTTTAGCATAAACAGCAATAAGAGCTGTCTTACCTGATGACCATTGACATATTCAGGAATGTTCTTAGATAGTTTATGGTTCATCATTAATAAACCTGAAATAGCACAATAATATTTGATTAAATGCAGCTAAATTCATCAATAAATGTAATACAAACTAAAATGTATTTAAATATTATATGTATGTATAATGAATTATTATATACTGTATATAATTTATAATATATTAATAATATATAATATATAATATATAATATATAATATATAATATATAATATATAATATATAATATATAATATATAATATATAATATATAATATATAATATATAATATATAATATATAATATATAATATATAATATATTAATAATATATAATAATATATAAATAAATATATTATTATATATATAATATATTTAATAAATAAATGTAATTTTTAAATGACAAGTTTAGTGGTTGGTTTAAATATATTATGATCTTGACTTTTTTACTCACCTATAACTGCAGCAAACAGCACAACAGTCAACAGGCTGAACATGATGATGAGAATCTGAAGTGCTGTCTGATCTTGTGCTGGATTTTTTTGCTCTGGTTCATTGTGACTTTGGGGGGATTCTGTTTTTGAGAAAAATATCATGTTTATCTTTTACAGGTAAAGTAACATATAATATTTGTATAAGTGAGTGAAGTGACATGTGGCCAAGTATGGTGACCCATACTAGGAATTAGTGCTCTGCATTTACCCATCCAAAGTGCACACACACAGCAGTGAACACACACACACACACCGTGAACACACACCCGGAGCAGTGGGCAGCCATTTATGCTGCGGCGCCCGGGGAGCAGTTGGGGGTTCGGTGCCTTGCTCAAGGGTACCTCAGTCGTGGTATTGAAGGTGGGAGAGAGCGCTGTACATTCACTCCCCCCACCTACAATCCCTGCCGGTACGAGACTCGAACCCGCAACCTTTGGGTTATGAGTCCGACTCTCTAACCATTAGGCCACGGCTTCCCCAGTCGTGTGATGATTATTAGAAGAAGAAAAAAAAGGCTATGGATTCTTGCCATTTAGATATTTATTTTGAATAAATTTGTTGCCAGTAATTGTGCAGTGGTGTGCAGTCTGGTGCAATCGCTGTCATCTTGAGACATTTCTTTTCGAAAAGCATTAGAGAAAAGAATGAATTTATTGTTTGGATAGTACACTTTTTAAATAAAGGACATTCATTCTTTAAATTTAGATCGGAAACAATTTTGCATAAATATAATTTCATAAATAACAATAATAATAGAAAAATTATTATATGATATAGCCTAGGCCTACTGATGCTTCTACTAACAATAATAACATAGAAATCAGATGTATAATTCATTCATTGATAACCTAGGGTGCGTTTCCCGAACAACGCAGTAGCTCATAATACAATGTGTTGTTGGAGAAACAAGTCACGACTGTTTCACGAAAACGTAGAAATGTCGCACATCTGGCCTTCGAAACACATTGCTAAGAACTGACGTTAATGGCGTCAAGCAGCTGGTGGAGTGATAACTTCTGCTAAATAATCAGTTCAAGGTCAAAGTAATCTCAAATTATTGCTGTAAATAACGAACTTTGCTATTTTCGTTCTCGGTTATTTTGCAGTTCTTCAGAAACGCCGATTGGATTCTCTTAACAAACTAAGACGCAGAATGAATGGAATGAAAGATAGATTATACTACATGTTAGGTTGCTTCATTTGCTCAAGTGCTTGATTTATTTAAGTCCACATGTCATACTAACAAGAAATTAGGCCTATGCTTCTAACAACAGGTAGAGAGCTCTTAAGTCATAAATATTAACATTAATATGAATATTAATATTAATAATGTAGATCTTAGTTATTAAATGTATCGCAGTTTCTCACTTACCAGAGGTGTGCAGTCTGGTACCATTACTGACCTCTAGATACCAGCCTGGTTTTATACAGTAATAAATTCCTAAATCATCAGCACTGACATTATTTATAAATAAGCGGCTGCAGCCTCCCTCTGAATATTTGCTGATGAATTTTGTGTTGTAATATTCCACCTGTTTAGGTGGTCCAAAAGTTCGCAGTATCATCTCTGGACGAGCTGGTAGTTTCATCACAAACCAAATAATGGCTTTTAATCTGAACTCACAGGCTAAAGTCACATTCTGTCCTAAAACCAGCCGTTGATCAGTGAAAGCTTCTGTGGTTTGATTCCACACAAACAGACCTGAACAAACAGAAAACAGATCATTCAGATCATCTGATCATGACAGAATCACACTGAATCACACAGAAATAAACTTACAGAGGAGTGAAAGCAACAGCGTCTTCATTCTGTGAGCTTGTTGAACGTGTGTGTTCAGGTTTGTTGGTGACTTTTATAACATTTCATAGAGGAAGTGCTACTGCTGAGCTGCAGAAAATACCAAATGAATCAGATGAAATGATGCAAGTTCAACTTATACTGGCCATGCTGGCTCTTGTTGTTTATTTACTGCTATTGGTTGAAGTGTAATAATGCCTATTTTGGAAAAGTCAGGCCCAAATATGCTAAATAAAATGTTATTTTGGTTTTAATGAATCTAATACAGAATTAAGGAAGTTGCCAAAATATACTTTTTCTTTAGGAATGGGTGTATACCATGGGTTTGCATCATATCCTGAAGATTCATCGAGTTCTTGTTATATAGAAGTTAAAAAATAACTTTCCAGTTATGGTTGCTGTCTTTACTTATACCAGACCAAATAAAGTGATACATGATGAACACATAAAAAGTCTACACACTCTTGTTTAAATGCCAGGTTTTTGAGATGTAAAAAATGAATCTGAGATAAATCATGGCAGATCTTTTTTCTGTGTGTTTATAAGAAACACATACATCATTAAGACACTTTTAACTTTAAACCGTTACTTCTGTACAAATATAATCAATATTGCTTTCACCAGTGAAAAAGTCCATCCTCTGGTGTCTTCTCACATCAAAATCCATGTATTTGTTTAGAACTGCTGGACTGTTCTCACTTGTAAACAGTGTTTGTTCTGTGCAGATTTCTCTCCTGATTCATTCGAGATGACTTTTTAATGGAGGAAGTGTTATTATTGGATTATGGACTCGTATTTTGGCCAGAAGAAACAGTTTTAAGTTAAAAGCGTCTTAATGATAGTTTTGTTTTTTAGAAGCACGCAGCTTTTTGCTTCAGAAAATATTAATTGATGGACTGGAGTGGTGTGGATTTTTGTGATGTTTTTATCAGCTGTTTATTGGACTCTCATTCTGACGGCACCCATTCACTGCTAGGATCCACTGGTGAACAAGTGATGGAATGCTGCGTTTCTCCATCTTTTTGAGGCTATGTTTACACTAGTTCGTTTTTGTTTTAAAACGCATAACTTTTGCTACGGTTAGCCCACGCCTGTCGTTTACCCCCAGCGTTATCGACCCTCGCTGCAAACCCCGTTTTAGTTTGAAAACTCCGGGGTTGCGTTTCAGTGTAAAGTTGTAAACGGACCAAAACATTGAGAAAACGGCTCTGGTTGCACCTGCATGAATGGTCATGTGATATGCGTGTTCGGTTGTGTAGTGTGGACGGAGATCGTTTCTGAAACGCAGTGAGATCGCAAGTGTAGACGAGCATCGCGAAAGTGCACTAGTGTAAACAGGGCCTGAATGAAAACACAGCAGCAGTCTATCAGCTTAGCACGTTTTGTTTTTCCAATTTTTTTGTTCAACTCTTTCTTGTAGAATGGCTTCAGATTGATCAGGGGGATCTTCTATGCAGTCATCCCACAAGTTTTTCCTATTGGAAATAGCACTGGACTTTTACTTGGCCGATCTGAAACATTCTTCTTTTTCTGAAAATGTTGTATTATTATATATTTACTTGATTTTGAATACATTTTCAAAGCATCCGCTCCTGCGTAACCTAGAAAAACTCTTCATTTGTCACTGTGAACTGTGTGTAAAACTGGAGAATGTAGATCCAGAGATGAGATCATTCTATAGAGGACAACCAATCACATAAATAAACATAGACATTAAAAAGTGGATTCATTCTTAAAGTAAATTAATTAAAAAAAATGGTTTAGTTAATATAAAGCTTTATTGACATTTAACTATAGACATTTTATGGTGTTTTTTATTATGAATAGACAAAAGCAAATCATAATTTTATTACTTTTGTTCAAGCAGCACAATGATCATCTGAAGTAAACAACAATAAATCAACACAATCTCTCAGTATGAAGCTGTCTGGCTGAACTTCTAGATATTAAGGATCTGTCAGTGGGATCTGAGGAGGAGCAACAGTGCTGCTGGTCTGAATGGATGTTATTCCTCTGTCACACATCTACAAAAAATAATAAATACATACATACATACATACATTAGCTGTGATGTATATTCATTGCTGTATATTCTGTTTTTATACAGTAATAAATTCCTAAATCATCAACAGTGACAATTATTGATTATTAATTGGCTCCTGTGTCCCTCTAAATATTTGTTGTGGGATTTTTCATTATAATAATAAGTCTCTTCAGATCAAGTTCGCAGTATCATTACTGGACGAGCAGGTTGTTTCTAGTATCAGTTTTTAGTAGGGTTTTTATTTATTTGTTTGTTTTATTTTTTGCGTATTGTAAACCATAACCACAGTTTTACTATGGTTTAACTTTAGTAACCATGTTTTTTTTTTCTTTGCAGTAAAACCATGGTCAATTTTCGTAAGGGAAGAGATATCATCACGGGGGATATTTAATTAGCTTTTTTTTCTCTGCTTGAATTATTTCTCTGCTATGAATATCAACGTGTTACAAGTACACGTGTTTTGTATGTTTATTTTTAAATGTTTAATACATTTGCAGACGTTATTGCCAACCGCTCCTGCGTAAGCAAGAAGGACTCTTCATTTGTCGCTCTGTTCCGGTTCCGCCTTGCTGTCTGTAAAACCCGAGCGACTTCCGGTGCGAGCGGCAAATATGGCCACGTCCAGACTAGAGACCAATTTTATCAGGTTATTATCGCGCTGTGAATCTCTGGCTTCAGAGAGGAGAAATGAGACAGAATGGAGACTGGAGAAGGTAATGTTTAACGACACTGCATTTACGTTTGCTTCTGTGCTTTTGAAGTAAACGTTTATATTTTACACAAGAGAATATTCTGCATGATACAACAAATATTGCCAGCGTCATATATATATATATATATATATATATACACATACACATATATATATATATACACACATACACACACACAGCATGCATTCAGTTAATGTCTTATTTGCTTCCTGTTTTTGCTGTGGATATTTTTACAATTCAATGCAATATCCTCTCTATCATTTTTAGCAGAAAATCATATTTAATAGATTTACATTTGTCTGTTCAAGTACGTTGGTGCTCTTGAGGAGATGCTTGTTGCCCTTAAAAAGAGTCCCAGGTAATTTTGTATAAAATTACAGGCATTAATGAATCATATATCTTTAAAAAGTGTTAAAATAATAAACCATTTCAACACCTATTACGTGAAAATGAAATATATGAACCTCAGAGTGATGTTGAGATAAAACGGCTAATGGTGTTTCTCCTACACCTGTGATATTATAAACAGATAGTGATGTAGATGATGAGTCCTGATTTATTCCCTCAGCAAACCAACACCGGAAATACTGACGGATTATAACCGCAAGGTGGACTTCCTCAAGGGTCTCTTAGAGGCAGACAAACTGGTCAGTCGTTATAGTCACCACATGCTCAATGACAGTCAAATGAGTCACGGTTCTATGATTGTTAGTAGAAACGCTTTGTTTGTTTCTAGCCGTCTCCAGCAGAGAAGGCTCTAGCCAATCAGTTTCTGGCTCCTGGTCGGACGCCTACGATATCCAGCGAGAGAACGCCGGCCAGTAAGACGGTGCACATTCAGAGCAAAGCGCGATGTGCTGGAGATATGAGGAAGGAGCTGATGAGCACCGTACGACTCTTTTCTCTTTCAACTGCGCTTTTTAGATATTCATGTTTTTATGGTATGTTTTTATCTTATAGAATTTGCTTGTTTGAGACAAAAATACTGATTAAGCAAATTATTTAGCATTTTTTAACAGTGTGAAAATGTACATTTTTACTGACTCTTTATTCTGTTCTTAACAGGGTGTATCAAATTCCGGTAAGTTTTATATTTTTATGCTTCATTTTAATAAATTAAATTTCATATCTGAATCATGCCCTTTTTTGTTCTTCATGGTTAGGTTCATTGGAGACAGATCTCAGACACAGAAAGTAGGTGGCGCTCTCTCTCTCATTGATTTTCTGTGTGAACGTGTCACTGGTATCTACAGTATTCAGTTTTGTCTGCTGTATTTTCAGGAGTATTCCTGTAGATGAGCGGCAGTCGACAGCAGAGCTGGACGCTATTCTACAGCATCATAAAAACCTGCAGGAGAAACTGGCTGATGACATGCTGAATCTCGCTCGCAACCTCAAGAACAACACACTCGCGGCCCAGAACATCATCAAGCAGGATAACCAGGTCTGATGCTTTTCTCTCTACACAGCTGTAGTTAATCTGGTGTTTATATATACGACGTAAAGTGCATATTTATGACAGTAATGCCCATCCTCTGAGAGCAGAGAATGTAACACTTTAAAAAAAAAAAGTGTGTACATCTTTTAATCAACAACATATTTTTTATCATTCTCATTCTTGATTGACAGTCAATTCTTGTTACTGTAAAATAGGATTTTTCCCCCCAATTTCATTTAAAAACAACAGCATTTTTTAATATGTGCTTACAATAATAATAATAATTTATTATTATTATTATTGGGTTGTTGATAATTATATTATTATATTCTAATTATAAAATAATTCAGTTGATAATATGTATATATTATATTACATTACAATTATTGTTATTGATAATTATATTATATTAATAAAATGTTATTATTAATGTTATTACATATTTATACTATATATTACTGTAATATAGGAATTTTTTGCACCCAATCTAGCAAAGTGGTCACCATTTATCTGCCTCAAATTAATTATTGCCAGCTCAAAAGAATAAAACAAATGTTGGTTGTAATAATTTTAAAAACAATTTTTTTTTTGCAAAGCTAAAGAACAACACAAACGACTTTATATTCTATAAATATATTTGTATTCCTTGTTTGCACCAGCTTCATGCTTTTATTATTTTTAAATCAGCATATTCAAATGTATAATAATATTAATAATAATAATAATTATTATTATTATAAAATAATGTTATTTACATTTCATATTATTTTATTTAATATAATAATAGTCTTGTAATGTAATGTAATATTATATTGTATTATTATTATTATTTCATTTTTTTGTGAAAATCACCACATTAATGAGCATTTACAAATGTAAAGTAGCAGCTTGAAAAGACTGGTTTATTCAAATGAATTAGTGATTTATCTGTTGTGTGACCACTAGAGGGAAGCAGTGTATTAGCGTTACACTAATTATTGAGCTTTCAAACATAAGTGTGCTGTTACTACAGCAACATGGCATTACAAAACTCTATAGAAACTAATATGAGCTTTTTTTTAATGACTTTATCAACACAGTGCCATTAAACTCTAAACCTTTAACATACTCCGATTAAAAGGTTTCTGTTGAATCTCATAGCAGTTAACAGACTGTAAACGTCTCTCTTCCTCCTCTTCAGACTCTCACTCAGTCTATGCGTCAGGCCGACATGAACTTCGAGAAGCTGAAGACCGAGTCAGAGCGTCTGGAGCAACATGCCAAGAAATCCGTCAACTGGTTCCTGTGGCTGATGCTCATCGTCGTCTCCTTCACGTTTATCAGCATGATCCTCTTCATAAGACTGTTCCCGCGACTCAGATGATGTTAATCATCATTAGAACAGCTAGATTTAATTTATATATAACAACAGGTTTACATAGACACTAGGCAATAGTAATAAAGATGATTGAAATCCTCGATTATTCAGTCAGTCAGTCCTGCGAACATTTCCAGTACCTGCATGCCATTGTTGATGTCATAATGAATTCACGCCGAATCCCTGTGAATGACGTCTTGAATCCTCTTGTAGACTATTTGTTCGAATGTTCGTTAAAATGAATGGTAGCCTATTTGAACTATAAACTGTTTGTCAGTCATTTAAATACGTAACCTGACGCCAAACATTCTTAATACTAATTTTGAGACCGGCATTTTCGTCTTTTTAAAGATGCGTTTAAGTTTTCGCTGAATTGTCTTCAGTTCCAACAGGTTTATAAAATATTGCTTAATATACTATATTTTGACACTATATACGAGCATTATAATGACTGGATGAAAACAGTTTCATCCAGCTTTATCTGAATTTAGTCGCTTTCTCACGTACGGTCGCTATAAAAGGGGACCGAGCTGTTTTAAGGTCCGGTTGACTTGTCCAGACTCGCCTTGTCAATCAGGAAATGTTCTGGCAAACAGCAGGAAGTATTTTTGCCCGTCAGAAGCACAGATGGAGACTGTCTTCTCCACTCAGAGAGTAAATGGCCCATATTTAGCTGCTAACTATCTATTTGTGCTTGTTCCCTATATATACCCAGCACTTGGACCGAACTGAGAAAGTCAGATTTTTGAGTGTTTATCTCGCAATTCTGACTCCCCTCCCCCATAAAAACTCACTTTCTTCATCGCAAGTCCGAGTTTTGAGTTCGTACTTCTCAAAATAATGTTTTGTAGTAATCTATATTTAATTGAATTATTTCTTTTTAGGCCTAAACAATAGTTTTATATTTTCGCATGTCACCTTTTAGCCTAGCTATATTTTTCTAAAAATTAAACTTTGATGAATAGCATGTGTAAACATGCCCCACTATAATAAATGAACTGTATTTTTCCATAACTCTTTCTGTAGCCTAATAGCCTACTTCGAGTTTTGTGATACAAAAATTGACATTAAAAACGTAACATGAGAAGTAGCCTATTCACATGGTTGTAGGCAGTGTTGGGGAAAGTTACTTTTAAAAGTAATTCATCACAATATTGCGTTACTTCCTAAAAAAAGTAACTAATTACGGTACTTAGTTACTTTTTGTTGAAAGTAATGCATTACGTTACTTTTTAAATCTGGGCAGGGCTTGCTTGTTTGCTTTTAATATAAAAAAGTTCGATTTTTGGAAAATGTAAAAGCCCTCTCACACCAAAAGCCTCAGGCTGAAGGAAATGTAAATTCACGTCTGTACAGTAGAACGCAGAAGAAGAAAGTTCAACACTCTTCAGCAATAAAAAAGAAGAAGAAGAAATGTTAGCTTTTGTAATTTTTGCTTATTAGTATGGTTGAATTGGATCATCGAAGGTCAGCAGCAAATTGGTTAATAAAATGGGATTAAATACATAAAGGATATTTGTATTATTTAACATATTTAATTATTGCAGCTTTGCGTCATATTCTGAGTTGCTTTTAACTGTTTTTATTAATTTTGAGGAAAACTAAATCTGTTTTTTTTTTGTGAGTAAGATGAATTAAAGCATGTTCACATTTATTCTAGAACTAAAGTAACATCTTACTCCCGATTTCTCTCAACATGGGCACAGGAGAGCTTTCAATCAATAAATGGGGAAAAAAGTAACTGCCGTTACTTATTTGAAAAAGTACCTCAGATATTTTCTTGTAAATTAAAAAGTAATGCGTTACTTTACTAGTTACTTGGGAAAAGTAATCTGATTCCATAACTGGCGTTACTTGTAATGGGTTACCCCCAACACTGGTGGTAGGAATGACAACTGCGTTTTCTCAGGAAATATTAGGCCTACGTCTTTCAAAAAATATTTTATGTTCAGAAAAAATGCTGATGTACATGGAAATGTATGTACTTTGGAATCACATGTTCTTTACGACCCCTGTCGCTGTTAGCTCAGCAGTCCCCTAATGCATCATAAATCATTGTTACTCTG